GCAACGAGAAAGATGCCTTTTTGAAACTTCTGTAGGGACCAATGCAGCTGTGTGCCTTGTGGTAAAGGCAAATTAAGGCTTGTGCTCATGTTATAGTGTGATATATTTCTTGACAATGCACAAATGGATACTGGAACTACTTCACTGCACATCATGGTGTTCTACGACTCCACATAGTGCTTTAAAACTGCATAATGCACGTTGTTTAATACTTATATTATTGACCAGACTCTATAACTCACTATAGTAATCTTCATTTTAGCTGCCCCCATCTGCATTAAATATTATTGGCTTCTAGAATGTTGTTATTTCATCTGAGACCCAACAATAGGGTAAATCTGCATATTTTTATATAAATGGAAAAGCTGCACACTTTATGCAACGGCCTATCGCCAGAATCATCCGGTCCCTCCATATTTCAGTGGCTGACTTCCACATCTGTTTCTCCTGTTCTGAAAACTGTTTGTTTGTCTTAACAGTTACCACCCGATGTTTCTCATTTCATTTCAGAAATCTCTTGAAAGTCATTATCCAGTTTCAGGTCCTTCAAGGTTCTGAATGTGAGAAACTCAATCCCACCATCTGTTGAAAGCTGGTGTATACATGGAGCTACAGTGGGCTCACCTTTGACATTTTGCGAAGTGTAGCACTGGAAGAACGTAGCCTATCTCTAACCTCCAGGAGTTACTGAGCTGCATAGTACGAGGAGAGTGGGGCAGAGGCAGGTTGTTGGGATCGTCTGTCAGTGTCATGGGACTGGGCCAAAATGGAGGAGGGTCTTTTTGAGGGGTGTGCAGTTAAACTAATGACGATGCGCGTGCTGAGCTGATAAGAAGCACTACCTATGACAACTTTCTATAAACAAAAGCCAGACACCTTTGGCTACTGAAACACGCTTGTGCGATAGTTGTTAGGTAGAAGGTAGAAATGTCAAGAGTCTTTTGCATTTGACCATGTGAACAGCATTTAGTCAGTTTGTTTTGGAGTTTTAACAGTATGATTGTAATATTTATTGCCTCTCTGTTACAGCAAATCCCAACAATTTCAAGAAAAAAAATATATAACCCATTTCTTGGTATTTGAAAACCAATTTGGAGCACTGTGAAAATTACTATTTTGTAGTGACAAGAGCACAGTTATTTAGGATCAATCAAATCATCTGCCTTGTATTAATTAATTTACTTGTTGATTTCACAATGATTTTTCTAAGATGCCCTGGTAACATTAATGTATACTGGATCATTGTTCTCACACAATACATCAATTAAGTTTTCATAGCAGACAGAAATTGCAACACAGCAGCCATTATTTTCACAGTATGTTACGCTCACAAAAACTGCATGTATATGACTAAACTCTCTCTCTTTAACCTGCCCATCCTCTCCTTGCTCCTAGCTGCTGGGTGTTGTCCGTCAGCACCGCCTGGTTCCTTGGACATAGAGGTTATTTGGCACGTTGCCCACTACTCCCCTCTGTCCATCTAATGAGCACTGCGCTCTGGCTCTGTCCTTGACAAATGGGACCCGGCGCTCAGTGTGCGAGGCTGGTATTAGAAAGTGGGAAAGCAGCAGTATGACTTAATGCCTGAGCAATGAGACTATGAGAGAGTAAGAAGGGTTGTGTCAAGAGTTTGGAAAGGTTGGGATGAACATCCACAAAATAATACTTTAATAAATTGGAATATGAATAGCAGAAATTGTAAATGGCAAAAATGCTGTTCAATACTCTTCAAATCTGAATTCCACTACGATAGTAAAAGTATTGTTTCGAGCTCCAATGAAGTATTAACTGTATTGCTAGTATTGCTGTTACTATCCCCACATGTAGAAACTAGTTACTGGTCTGCTGCTACATAACGGTGCACGATTTAACATTTCTGGTTACCTGCTTGTCTCCATGGAGAAACATTCCAGGCAAACATCTCCATGGAGACCAGTTGGTGGAAGCCCATCAGAAATTACACAGTGCACCTTTGATGTGCTGCAGTGAACAATGACATTGTGCATCAAAACGATATAACCTTTTTTTATTAAACTGATTTTTAATACGGTAAACCTATAAAATATTTTGACGACACATGCAACTATGTCTCTCTGTAAAAAGTGTAGTAAATTTCCATGTATGCGCGCTCTCCAAAAGCTGATCTTATGGCTTGATACTATGTCAGATCACGTCTCAAAACCAAATAAACAAGAAGACCACATTGTGATTTTGGTTTTACATTCACTTCAGCTCACAGTGGGGCTGAGGTTTGCTGCTTGGCCTCAAATCTTTAAGGCTTGAAAATGGGAGCAAATGCTAGTGGCCCAAAATATACTTAAGTCAGCCATGTGAACACACCCTCTGAGACCACATCCACCTAGCACCGCCATATTCATCTGCAACATTCTCAAACAATCCATGCTTCTTTCAGTTACTAAAATGCATGCACACTATGTAACTTTCCTGGAGGGGGGGTCCGTCACCTGCTTGTCTCCAAGGAGATGTTATTACTATGCCTGGAATGTTTCACAGTTCAGCATTAAAAATGTGTTGCATTTATTCTATTGCAGCTTGAGCAGTACAAGTACATTTCACCCCTGTGAGCTGCCACTTGTCCTTGTAGCTGTGTGATTGAGCTTCATCAGAAAAATCAAGAAAGCCATTATGAGCGGAGGGACTGGTATCATTAAACATGCTTACATTCAAATTGCCCACTTAACATAGTTCTCTTACAGCAGCATGTGTTTATCATTAGCTCGTACCCTAATGCTTCGAACATTATTGGAGTTGGCTAAATGGCAGAGCTATGCTTTGTTTCAGCCCTGATAAGGGCTCACTGATTTCCATGCTAGAACTTAATGTGAAAACTAAAAACAGAGCTCTGAGATTGTCACTGGAGAAATGCACTGCAGTACAATTCATTCAAATTATATTTTAACATTATTAACATTATTACCAAAATGAATATACTGATATAAATGCCATTTGTCACTTACCACTCAGCTAAACTGTTCAAGGCATAGCCCAGGGCATTTTATGTTAAGTGGCAATGATTGAAGTTATTACTGAAAGCCATTTTTTATTTGTTAATAAATAAAACTGAATGAAATTGGACTGATCAATACAAGGAAAAAACTTTTTTTTTTCATATCAACAGGCCTAGCATAGACTCAGGACTATTGCTGGGTTGCTACTCACATCCAAACAGTCATATGATCACATTACTTTTCCTTTTCAGTTTCTACTAATCAATTTAAAAACATTGAAAATATGGAGGATTTAACATTTTAAAGAATTTTAGAATTTAATTGTAAATGGTTTGAAAGTGCAACAGACAAAATTAAACCTGGTGCAATAGACTGACTATAAAACCCTAAAGAGGATTTATCCCTGAAAGTGAACAGTCAGCTCAGGCTTAGCACTAGTGAGCAGATCTGAGTGGGCCAATATTGAGGATCTGTGAGAGGATTTGAAAGCCATCGGAAGTGTCTTCTTGTCCCCCACTGAGGAAACAATGCACCAGCAACTGTTTGAACTTGGGAGACATTTTATCTGTGCGCAGTGATGTGTGTCCCTCTGACTGGATGTCATGCATTGGAGTGGGACTAACACTTTGTTCTCAATATCGTTTAAGTGTTCACTTTTCACAGAGGAACCCCTATGTAACAAAAGCCGTGTGCAGCTCTGATGATAGGGGTGAACGCAGACACAGGAAATGACTAGAGGGCACGAACAGGGATTGTCTCTTTTTCACTCCACTCTTTTATAGTGCCATCTGCATCAGTGTATCAGGTGTAAACTATTGAGGGTAAGGTAATGTTTAATTACTGAAAAAATGCATGTGTATTATATTTCACAAAAATAAAATGAAATATGACTACAGTGCATAAAACCAGTTTTGTTTTGTTATGCATAGGACTATCAACAGAAACAGAAGTAGTTTGAGACTGAGGTTCAGCAGCTTTGTGTGCCATGCAGTGATTTGTTTTAGCACTTGTCTGACGTGGATTTAGCAAAGCCACATTAATGGCACCCTCAGGATTTGTATCAAAAACACTAAGGGCTCTCTGAGAAAATATACCCTTTAAATATTAGCCTCAGCTTCATGCTTCAGCAGCAAATATGGTACAAAGCTGGCCCCTGACTCAGGCCCACTATGACAGTCCAACTTTAGAACAAAGCTAAGCTTCACAAACAAATCGCCCATATTCACCTTTTAGACTTTGACACCAATATGTCAACGGGAGCAACTTACATATGTGCTATTTCTAAAAATGCTCTTTGGTGTTTCAGAGGCAGAAATGCAGCCCTCAGGCCATCTATTTCAACTGAAACGCTCCAATGAAGTGTCACCACTGCAGCGCTTAAAACGACAAATTTGACTTTAGAAAAAGGCCTAATACAACATGCCACCTCAAATTAAATGATTAGGCAGTTTTGGGAGGTTCATCAAAATGTACCATATTTTAATTTCAATGTACTAAATTAACAATACGCGTTTTAGGGCAAAATAAAAAACATATATAAAAATACTACTTTTAACAATAGAAAGTTTCTATCACAAATTCAGATAAGCACAATCTTTTATTTAGAAATAGAGATCCATTTGTTAGCTTATATGAATACGCCTGTTGTTAAAGACTATTTCAGAGAGATTAGATTTTTAAAAATGAGAAGTTCAGTCATTGGCGTGAACATGAAGATGTGCAGTGACTGATACTTTTATTAGTCTGCATAATGCTCTTTACAAATTCTCCGTAATGTGGCTGAAGGTAGAAGTGACATGATTGGTTATTTCACTGTCCGTAGCGCGTTAGCTCCAAGCTCCATGCAGCGCTGCTCTCAACTTCTCGCGCAAAACAAAAGTTACACGATAAGGTCGTGTCTGATTTGATCGAGACACCTTTGTTTCTTGTTTTTTTTTACTCTCCTTTTCGGTTGTCCCGCTGCTGCTTTCGCGCACGCAGCCTCCCTAGCTCTGCCCCAGCGTGCCTTGCCCGGACCCCTTTAGTGCTTACCTCTCGTGGAAAAGAGCGAAAGCTGTGATTTAGCAGCCAAACACATTCTTCTGATGGCAAATCCGATCAGGGCCCTCCATTAGACGTGGGCTCAAGGTGTCAAACCTCGGTAAAAACACGAACACAGCCGAAGGACCAAAAAGGGTGAAGAAAGTTTTCGGAGCTCCCGAGCAGCGCAGCCTTCGGGGCGAAGGTAAGACACGTCCCACAACTGGTCAAAAAATCGCTGCGAGCCTCTTGTAAGTACTGTTTCTCTTTGTTTGAGGATCCATGTGCTGCTACATAGGCACTATATTCCCGCTAGATCTTCGTTCTACCCGTGGAAATAGTAGTAGTAACTTGTTGAGCCACTTCTCGTACTCTCTCTAACGCCGTGTCTTCCACACACGCATCTTTGAAGCCAGTGTCGAGTTGCTCAGCAAATCATGGCAGCGCCGAGGCTGGTCGTCAAACCAGGAATGTCCCTGCCCCACAGCCCGGATCCCGGAGAGAGGAGGGAGGGAGACACGAGGGGGTGTTACCCATAGACTGTGCATTAACAAGTTTTACAATCTAACTAAGAAAAAGGCTTCCTATTCTACACTCACCTGCGTGAGCGTAGTCCCAAGAAAAGATTCAGGTAAGCTTGGTTCACCTGGCAATAGGCTTCTTCATAGTTTAGGCCTACAGTATAGTAATAGCATACGGGTACGCTAAAAGTATAGGCCGAATAGGCTACTATAAACAGTAATGTAATGTGTTGTGCTTTTACTAATAGGCCAATTCATGTGTTTTGAGACTTTGCATTTTGAATATGAACTAATTTAAACGTACAAAACATAGTCTTCTCCCCTCATACCATATTAAACTGTATACATATATACATATATACAATACACATATTATGCCAAACTAAATTAAATAGATTCATACACCACAGTTGGCTATTTTAATTTGCTCATGTAATAAATGGTTTACATTCATCTCACCTAGTTTTATAGTTTTTGAAAGCATTCAAATGTGCAGACTAGTTTGGCTCCAGCCCTGTATAGTCTGTTGTTTGGAGTGGACAGGGCATGGACTGTATTATACGCATGTGTCCTGGTGATGATCAGACAGTGCCAGCCACACAGGTGCAGCTCACCCATCTGACAGCTGACTCCTATCAGTTCCCCATCCAAGTCTCCTCAGCACACTCAGCCCGAAGTGTTCTAAAGCCAACATAGCAGACAGCACAGAGAGGATGAAGACAGACCTTTGCTGTGCCAGAACAATTACAGCTCATCGTAGATAAAAAACACTTTTACAGCTAAGTAGTTGGCATCTGATAGACACAGGTTAAAGTAATTATCAAGGTAAGAAGTTTAACACCCCTTGTGACAAACTTCACACCAGTTGTAATAGTACAATTTTAAGGATATCAGTCTCCCTTTTCTCAAAATAGTTAAGCTTTAAATTAGGTGTAGAGTATTGGGTGAGGAGGTCTGATTCTGTTTTTGTTTTTCCTTTGTTATTATCTGACCTTATTATATATTTTTTCATTGAACTGAAATATTTGAATTTATTATTGATGAACAATACTTGAAAGCAAAAAGCTACTGTACCATTAAAGTTTGCCCTTTGACCAAACTAAAGAGTGTTATTTTGCCTGTTTGTGTCTGCTTGTAGGAGGTGATCAGAGCTGGAGACGAGGCCCAGGGTTCAGAGGGGGGTGAGCTGGGGATTGGACACAGTCGCATGTGAAAGGCCACTGAGCGGTGAGTCTACAGGGAGTTGGGTCCACACACAAAAGCCCAGGGAGGGGCAGGTTGGAGGTATGAGAGGGGTGGGGGGCTCGCTGGGAACCAAAGCTGACAGCAGAGACACTTCTCATCCGCAGAACTCTGGGCTGTCTCTGGCCCCCTGTGGTCCGGACTGTTGAGCTTCAAAAGGCGCTCATACGAAGGAGCAGCGGCAGTAACATTAGGCACTGCACAAAGCCCCTCTGACCCCTGGCCCACATTTTAAGACAGCTTTTGTGTCCTGGTAAGATCAGGTAAGATCATGTATCGACAGGTCACAACATAGAACCACATTCACAGTGACTTTAAACGGGCCACTTCACAAGTCATTCCCAAGTCAGTGTGCTTCGTTTCAGAAGCACTGGAACTGCCTGCCTCTGGGCAGCTGTGGTTATCGAAGTATAGTTGCTTACCACCCCAGTGTATGGGGAGTAAATGAATTGTACACAAAATTGACCAAAAAATGCAAACATAAAAAGGTACTAGAGACAAATAGACAAAATATATTTATACATTTTTGTTTTGTTGGAAAATATGTGGTATTCCTATGAATACCAATCTGATCTAATCTAATAAAATCTAAAGAGACTGTATCTGTCAGCTGACCTGGGAACACTTTGGGATTCCCTTCTTAGACCACCCCTGCAATATGGCCCTGTATAAAGAAGACCTATGGACTTTTATTTATAATCAGTGATCACGGCCATATCATAACACAGTCACTAATACGGTGGATGATATTCTTGGCGATCCCAGAAGGAAAAAGCTGAAGGGGAATCAGATTCCTGGTGTGACGTCGTGCTAACTAGGGCTTTTCAGATCTTCAGCTGGGTTTGTTTGCATTAGGGACCTCCGGGCTGCTGTCCTGTGCTCTTGAGGACTTTAATCCTCAGCCCACTGTCAACAAAGTGTTTATGACCTGCAAAGCAGAGCACTGTTTTGTTGACTCTGTCAGCAGGGGCCCAGGGGATGCCTGACTCCCAGGGCTATTAAAAGACGCTTTCAGATAAGACCAGGACCATCCCAGCACTTGAGCTGCTCTGGATTTATGGATTGAGCTGCAGCTCTACTAATTACTAGACTTGAGTTAATAAATAGTTGTGTGAGGACATTTGCCAAACTGGAAACTGAATTGGTGTGTAGATCATAAAGAGTGGTTCTTCCCTGATTTAGTATAGTACAGTACTGAAGCAGTATGGATTTCATGACCACTTTGCCATTCATTCTTTCATAGTGCCTATATTGTCATTCATTATCTATGACTGCCTGAGACTTTTCTGTTTAACTTTTTATAACCTATTATAGACACAGAAAACATTGGGGAGGGAAACACATACACAAGTGAGAAGAATCACAATATTTTACAAGGCAGACTAAATGTATTTCCCCTCAGAGGACCGTATATCTCTGCACGGGACAGGTGTGTGCGTGTAGTCTGCCATTGTTGCCGTCTCTAAGCTGCAGCTGTGTGTCTGTTCACCGATGTGTAAAGAAGGAGGGGAAGCTGCAATGTACCGGCACCCTCTCCATCTGGTTTATGCATCAGCGTGGTGGGATCAAATTATCCATCGTGGGCTCTCTGGGAATTTCATCGGTGTGTAACATCTCACTCATTCACACATACATAGACCTGAGCAAGCACAGCCATCTTGAGTGCCCCTCTTGACATGACGGTGACCCTGCACATCCTCTGTCCCACTTTACAGTGCAGCTCATCTGATATGTCTCCTCTGGAAGACCTGTATGGAGCATAAAGCTGTCTAGCGCTCGCTTTCACACTCTCACTGTTAGGTCTCAGCTGTCCATGTCTTCTTCAGATTTTTTAAGTATAAACACAACTACTACTCTACTGTCTATACATCAACTGAAAAAATATCCATTATGAAACTTATAAGGGAGCTATAGGGACATAAACCTTTTATGAGCTTTTAATCATACTATAACATTCGCTTACTCAAAGTTGTATTTTGACTGATTGATTCATGCATGTGTGAGTTATCCTGCATTGTCCTGCATTCAAGGCTTGAGTGCTTTGAACAATTCCATTTTCACCTGCTCCCTATCCCAGCCAACTGCTTTGTACTTAATTGTGATTATTCAGAAAATTAAAACTCCAGGTCATACATGTGCATGAACATTATTTTAAAGATAGAGTCACAATTGTCAAGAAATTCACAATGATAATAGGTTTCATTAATTGTTCTTCTGACCCCTGCTGGCTATAGTTAGAAAAGGTGGAAGTGTCCTACAAATATTACATATAACACATATTCTACTTGCGCTCTTAAAATGTTGAAATTATATGGGAAATAGATAGTGAATTTCAGTTTAAAATACTATTACAATATTCAGATTCTTTCATATGGGTACAAAACACTAGCAAAACAAAGTGACCCAAATTGACACATAATTCCATTACTAATACATGCACAATTCTACTGAGAGTCCCTTTTAGTAGACTTCCTGTCATGTACATAAATATAAATGACTTTGGGTGCAGTATATCACTTCCACTGGCCTGAGATTTTTAAGCGTTTCCCAGATTGTCCGTGCATGGTCTTCCGATCTTATCCTGCCTGTGATGTGGAGTTGTCACAATAAAGAATCAGGGAGCTGGTTGTTGTGGGCAGCTGGGGAATACTGAGCAGGAAGGAGACTCAAGTGAAATATCTATTACTGCTTAACACTGATGTCTCCTTTGGTCCCTGTGGCTCTCTGCGACCTTGTGATTTATGGAGGGGCTTTAGAGCCGAGGATCAAAATACAGCTGCCCCAAAGCTGTGCATAAACATGTGTACACCAGAACTAACATTTATCAAGTTCCAATGCGCAGTATTAGAGGAGTATTAGAGGAGTAATTTTTATTTTTATTTATTTATTTATTTTTTTTATTCAAAATGCTTGGAACGAGAAGGGGTTGTTACAACTACTGGAAATGTCATTGTTGTAAATTCAAAAACATCTTCTCTAGTACAAATATCAATACTGATTTGCACTACCCAGTCACACAATCTCTCAAAGTGATACTCGCCAGTGGCACAGAAAGTTCACTGGCTTTGATACTGGCTAGATTACAAAATTCTGAAAAATACTTCTATTTTATTTACAATGCCATAGCAAAGAAGTCAGGCCTTTCTGAACGCAATGGTCATATTTTGCAGTACTAACAATGTAGTGTTGAATTGCAATTGAAAGAGATGCTACTTCCCCAATCCTTGTGTGTGGGGAGAGTGGGGTATATCTATCCTCCACACTTAATCTTCAAGCAGCTCTTTTCTGGCTATTATTCCT